ACTTCATCAACAAAATAAGACTATGAAACTTTGGAAAAAAGAAAAGAAGAACCATATTCAAAGATTAATGGGTGTATTACCAAAATTATGCTCATTGTTATATACTTCTATTTGAAAGAGAAAAAAAACAATTCAATAAAATGTATTAGATAAGTATAAAAATGTAATTCTTACATAAATATATAAAGATATGTACATTCTTATAATGTTAATAGTAAAATGTATATTAACTCTTTATTAATCAATTAAATATAATAAAAAAATAATAAATATTTACTAAAATTACATAAATTAATTTAACTAATACAAATAAATTAATTAATCAATAAAAATATGTATATACATTTTAAATAAATTTTAAAAAATTTTTTTGTTTTTTTAAAAAAAACATGATACATAACATTTTAAATGATTATCGATTGAATTTATTGATTATCTAAAATCAAACTTTAGCTAAATATATGACATTAAAAGTGTATATTGAGATAATAGAGAAGATTTATAGCTCAGATAGATGATTTTGATGAAGTTTTGCTCTCTGAGCTGGATGGTTTAGTCGTGTATCAAGCTATCCAACTCAGAGAACAAAACTCCACCAAAGGTGTATATTTATATATTATATTAATAATATTAAATAAAGTGTCTTTTTTAAAGAAAAACATTCAGATTATTATGTTATTTTATGTTAATACTGATTTTAAGATGATCATCAGAATAACAGTTTACTTTTTAGTGGTAATAAGATATCCATATTGAAAGATTATATGTAAACAAATTAAATCATTGATCATTACTTATAATATGTGTGAATTAAGGTAATATTGAGGCAATATGTATAGGATGTACATATGCCAATAAGAGACTGATCGATTACAGTTTTAAACATCAATGGGAGGATTCAAGTAAATAATGCCATATAAATTTAAACTTCATCCTATTACACAACCAATTGGCTATCAAAACTTAGTAGCTAAGTGGATAACGCAATGGCATTTGAAGCGAACAGAACTGGATTGGAGTCCCAGAGTGAACATCAACTCTGAGATGCAGGTACATCCAGCTGACGAGTTCCACTGCTGGCCACTATCCATCTTTGCTTACAACTGTAGACCAGTCATAAAAAGAGACCTTGTTTAATTTAAGATTTGCTACTATAGAAATTACTCTTGTTTGTGATTTCAGAAAATTTTTTATCATCCATACGAATACCATATATCTAGTCATACATTGAATGCATACATTGTTAACAGCATTTCTAAGTGACAAATTTGATACTTTTGCATATAAAGCTCTGATCATGCCATGTAGAATGATTCAAAACCGATTTTTTTTAAATAATAAAAATTATGCCAGATTTTTACTTGTAATGATATACTATTGAACTACAAATATTCATCATCATCACAAGACTTTACATTTTCTTATTATTTATTTGTTTTTTTTTGACGGTATTTAATACTATGTAGATTGAAATCTACTTGATCTATCAGTCAAAAGAAGAAATGGAAATAAAAAATCGATAAGACTATAATTTATGGACGACTTTTGAGCAACGCTAAACTGACCTTGACAGTGTTCACCTAATAACTAGGACTAAATGAGGGTTATAAAGCTGTGTGAGTTATGATTTACAGTTGATGGTCAATGTTAGGAATTAGATTTAGAGTTTTCGTTCCAAAATCCAAGACCCTGTTATCTTGTACGCAATTGATTCGTTCATAAATTAATCTCGCAGAAAAATCAATTAGTCTTTAGCTTGTTCTTTCTTTTAAGTTCATTTTCTTAAACTAAGACTGAACAATGAATAAAGGTTATCAATCATTTAAATTCTATTAGCTTCAAAATAGTCATATATTGATTTAATTTGATAAGTCACAATCAATGATAATAACGTATGCAAAGAAACAGTCATAAAATGATATTCTGTATGAAAATATCTATGCTACTTAAGTAATCGTTGTTTATACTTTATGTTTAGCAAAGATCAATAAATATGCACAATAGGATGTTGAAAACTTTCATGTCAAACTTCGTTAACAGGATACATTAGACAACTGACCAGATTAATATTTTGTGTGTGTCACTATTCAGTAAAATTGACTTTATAACCTTTAAAAAGTTAAGTGTTTTTCTGAAGTATTAAACTACTTACTTATAAATCCACTTGTAAATATGATGAGACCTATCGTAATACTATGAAAACTGTAATTCCATGAAATTGAAGTTCTACTTTTAAAAACTTATTGAAGCTAACAACTGACCTTCGATGAATAATGCATATATAAGAGCATGAAACATGAATACGAAGTCTTTTGTAGACTATCCATAGAAAACTTAGTGAGCTACATTGTTGGTCCATTCATTGATGACGATACATTTACTGATGACATGAAGTGAAGAATGATATCACTTATAAATTTAAAGTCAACTAATACATATTCTATGGATCATATTCAACAAAGATATTAGTTTATGAAAAACAACAATAAAGAAATAGATACAATTTCGGTTTCAAATAATTTCTCATTTTAAATCAAGTTAGCTTTCTATAAAATATTACTATTAAAATCACTATGATTAATGAAATAGATTGTTTTGAGAAACATTACACCATATATTCCGAGTTAGTTTTCACTGAACAAAGGGAAGCGTTAAAATCAAGAAAGCGTTCAATGTTCTGATCATTGCAATTTAGATCGTTCCATTATCATCAGTCTATTTACAGTTTTCTTTACAGACTATTAGGACTTCTTAAAAAATCGGACGTAAAGTCAAAAATTAAGATTTTTGATGTTATCCTGTATTAGCCTGTGATACACTAATGTGTCAATTGGATGAAGATCCTAACATAGTATTGATTTATTAGAAATAAAGTTATATCTCAAACCTATCGTGGTAACTTTACAATTTCAATGTCCTACGTATCATCCTTCGTTGTTGCTGTATGCTGTTGAGAGATAATGAACTTCGATAAATTCCGACTTCTCTACTGCAGAACAATTTTCATTCTTATCGCAGATAGAGTAAGCTTCTTGTGGAAATCACACTTCACCTTGACATGTATTCTATGTAGAAAGAGACAATTATTTAATATTAATTGTGTCTATACATTGCTTATCGTATTCATGTACTACCGCTCAAAAAATACTACTATCAATCACTGTAGAAAAAACCAACTCACAAATGCATACAAATGATTATATCTTTCAAAAGTCACCACTATTTACCAATAAAATTGGTTAAAATTTCAAAAAGGAACTAAATACTCCTTGGTTAATTGGCATAAAATAGACAAAAACAATGAAGATTGATTCAATAGGTAAGAAAGTGATGGTCTATATTACTTTGATAGAACCATACAAATGATTAAATGGATAAATAAGTAGTTATTTAAGATAAATAACAAAACATTCGTTAATCAAGAAAATGATAATGAATCGGTTTACTGTGAACCATAAACTAACTTCATTTGTTGTAAATTGTAAAAAATGTAGGAAAAGAAATACATGGACTGTTTCCCGATTATTAATAAAACTGAAAAGTTAATAGCTTATCTGAAGAAAGGGACACAGTCTGGACCGAGTTAATAATAAAAAAACCTCTAAGGAACTGAGGAGAAGGTTAGGACTAGATATTGATCGGTTATTTTTAAATGTCTATGGAAATATTGATTTAGAATAACTAGTTACATAAAATGGGATAATTTTTAGAGCATTGGAGCAAAATACAACCCTATCTGTGTGGTCTCGATAGCTAGTCACTTCAGTTTTTAAGAAAAGTAACAATAATAACTTATAACGTAACACTCTGTGTAGAATGCACACAATCGTCTGGATTGCATCAAATTCATTAGTAATTTGCCATTCTCTAAGTTTTAGAAACACTAATAGTACATAATTTTCATTTTCCTGTATTGTTCCAATTTTTTTCATTTTCGTTTTTCACTACTGTTGCTTTTTACTTCTGTTTGCTTCTCTCTCATAGTTTTGATTTGAAATGTGATAACTTAATTTGTATGTCTGTTCATCTTGAAAATATGTAGTGGTTAGGATTAGACAAATATACTTGGCAAAACCAGACATGATTTTGTTTATAATAAGCATATATTGAACAAGTGAATAAAAGTTCAATTTGGTTATCAAAAATGTTAACTACAAGCAAATGTTTAAAAAGAGATAGTCATATCAACATTTACCAACCTTTTTAATACAAAAAATATAAGTAGGTTCTCTTCTAGATATTTTCAAGTAGTTTACTTAGTTGACACAACGATTCATTTGTTAGTTTCTACGAATAGGTTAAAAATGACAAGTATAAGAAAAATGATGCATATACAGTATCATTCAGAGCTCTGTTCTTTAAACTAGACTTTTCAAAATACTAGTGACCAGTTTGTTTGATTGATTCAGTTAGTAACAAAAACGATTGTGACTGATTGAAAGTATGAATCGTGACATATTGTAAATCACTTAACCAAAGTATGCTGTAGAAGATAAATTTTGAACTTCAAAAATCTAAACTGAAAAAATCATTCAAGTACCGAATAAATCAATGGATTGTAGATAAATTTCTGAATTATTCTTCAAAACAAATTGATGTCAATTGGATAGCATATAAAACATAAGATCGAAGGACGAGTGTTTCGTCCGACTTCTAAGACTCCTTATATATGTGCTCGTCCGAATTCATTAATGATTAAATATGTTCAAATGGTCATTTTGAGATTTTTATTTCTTATCTTTGATTATTAACTTCTTATCTGTGCTATTTTTTTCCCGAATACATCGTATATTTAGATTAAAGATTCAATTCCAGAATATCTGTTTACGTACTTGGTTATTTGTTCGTTTATTCTGTCTTCAAAAGTCGATTCCATTAGGATATGGAGTTAAATTTCACAACAAAGCGACCAGTTTATATATATATATATATATATATATATATATATATATATATATATATATATATATATATATATATGCAAGAAAAGGTCATTTGGTGTTGGAATCAAGGACACATTAAAGATGGATGATGTAATAGTTAAGTGGAATTCAGAGACAGATAAGATAGATCATGTGATAGTTTTTGAGGTAATGAAGTGTTTACACAAGATTCATGAAACTAAAAACTGATAAGATGGGTCATATTCACTTAGCGTTGTTTAGTTGTATCTTCCTATTGTCACTTAGGACTGCAACTGATCAATCTCTTGTTGGTATATGTGCCTCCTGTGCGAACTGCTTCGATATTGCCTGATGTCACAAGCTTTATAAGATGTGTTACGTAATAATCGAATAGATTTTGAAGAGTTCACATAATTTAAGAGAATCAAATGAATGGAAATTTGTGAATGAAGGGGTGGTTGAAAATTCGCTAATGGAAGAGAAATATAATACAAACTAAACATTAACAAAAAACTAATGACCAAAGAAATAGAATAAAAATGAAGTACCAGGGTAGTAATAGGTTTATTACTGTTTCTTTTTGAATGCATAGATCCGGTTTGAATTTTTTTATCGCGATCGCTTCAGCAAAATGGAGAGAAGCAGTATTTCTTTGTCTGCTAATAATTTTAAAAGCATGAGAAATGTCAATCGTATGCCCGATATAAATTCTTTACATTCACTTATTTCAATTGTTCCATACTATTTCTTACATCAATGTAAAATTCAAATACATATTTGGTTGAAAGCAGCTGATGAGAAACCACGAAATATAATGACTTCATATTATTCTGCATCTATATTTGTTTTATCCAAAATCACTAAGAAATGAACTGCTTTTGCACTAACTACCTGTAAATTGCATAATGCCAGAAATCAAATATATCCTGTTTTAATTTTAAATTATAAGTATGTAATAAAAACTATTTCCCTACAAGAAATAAAAAAGCTAATAAGAACATATCTACTATGTTTTATCAGAGTATACAGTTATTTAGTATAATAATAATAACAACAACGATAAGTTATTCAATGTATCGCTAGTGTAAAATAGAACAAATAAGTTGAGCACTATAAATATACAAATACCTGAATATTTACCTGGTAAAAAGTGTTATAAAACTATAGCTTTAAGTGTAAATTTTTTCAACTGTCTTGTTTTTGTTCGTTGAGCAATAAAAAGATATACATCAGTAGTAATGCAAAGTTACTAATGTAAAAGTAAGATGTAAGAGATAAAGCACTGATTATAAATATATATATATATATATATATATATATATATATATATTCCAGAGAGTACATGTGATTTATGTTAACAGAAAGAGTGACGTACAGTCTGGTAGACAAGAGACCATATCAAGTGTCTGTGCTGTTTTGTTTAGGTCGAAACTAAAAATTGTTTTCATATCTCAAATTTATTTCTAGCAATTGCGTAAGATCTTGTTTTTGTCTACGAAAACTATATTGGTCAACTGAAAATTATTTTTTCTGATTAACAATATTACCAAACTTAGAAAAGTGTGTTACGCAACTGATTTTATAAAAGTTTACTTGATCTACAAAACACAAAACAAAATGCTATGAATGGTACACTAACACTTAATTCTCTCACCTATAGCTGATTACAGCAATATTAGTTCAGACTTGAACACCGGCTACTTCATGTTTTTGCCTTTGATCTCGTTGTATGTGATGAAAAGATTGAACTGTTGACAAATACGTAAAATTAATCTTAAGAGTTTAAGAAACGAATAGTAAAACGCTTGTGTTTTGCTAATGATGAGACCGTATACTGCCCAACCCGTACACTCTCATAGAAATGTCTTTGGAGCAGAATCTCAAAGTCGGAATATGATACAGAAATCGTCGAAAAGATACGGGAATAAAAAGCTTCAACATCGATTTTTGTGGTCAAAAAGGTGTGTACTACTTGAAGAGATCATTTTTATAGACAGCTCAAATGAGTACAGAATTTCGAAAATACAATCTTGATGTACAAAGAAGTCGTTTCAGAAATTCGTACACAATATCATTGTCGAAAAAATAGACTTTACGGTTCAGTATAGGACATCTATCATCTGATAAAAGTTTCCTTGGCTGATTAATTTGATATGTGTGATTCACGTTGTAGTGTGAAGTTTCTTAAGTAGCCACCATAATGAAACCAAATTACTTGTCCAATCCTCCTTGATTATAATTAATTTACCCGATAATATTTGTACCTAAAGGAAGCTTTAAGAGAATTAGAATTTCTAGCAAACAACCCATTCTTCTAAAGCCTTTATATAAAAAGTTATAAACACAGTTTGATCCAACTCAGTAGCAAATACAAATACATGTACTCAACTTTGAGATACCCTTAAATGTAAAAGCTGGTAGTACTATTTAGTTTATTTAATCCAAGTAAGTGCCAAAGTTTGAACTTTATCACATAATAATTAAAAGTAAAGTTCTCTAATCACTTATCTATTGTTTCTTAGGGACAATAGCAATCTAATGGTTGATTATGTTTACGAATTTTACAGTTTGATCAGTAAATATTTCAATTTATTCAGTAAGAATTCATATACTTTATTTAGATGGTTTGGTAATATTGAAAGTAAACATAAGCATATATCAAATATAATCTCAAATTAAGGCAAACAAATCAAAACGCTTTTCCAATTTAATTAATTATCTCAAAGTTTCACAATTAGATGAAAAACGTTCAGTAAATATCAGCTAATAAGAAGCGGGACAAATGGTTTTTCATTATTTTTGTTAGAAAATAAAATTGCATAAACATTGGCTGTGATCGTGATTAATGATTTCACATTCAGTGATTAATAAAAACACGGTTAAGAAAAAATCAAACTTACTTATATAAATGTAAGAGAAGTGGCGGTAAAATAAACTATCAAGATTAAAACTAAGTGAAGGTAAATGTAGATAACACTGGAAAGGTATTTGATTGAGAAAATAAATATTTAAAAATCTAGGACAAAGAAAAACTAAATAATCTCAAAGAATTTAAAGGAGACTGAATATCAAGTTAATCACCAATCGATAGACTTATCTATAAACAACTGACCTAACAACCAATAAAAAGATTATAAGCAACCACAAGTCAGTCGATCAAATGAATAAAATATCCAATCATAATATACTAACAACCTATAATAACTCAACTCCTAGAAATAATAAAAGATTTGAGAAAGATACTATTGATCTGTAAAAGAACTTTCGCGGTTGACATTTTGGATTTAACACGAAAGCTCCAAACTAAGTTTACGGTAAATCCGTTCAATGTATCAGACTTTAGTCGATAGTATACATTTGATGATAAATATTTACTGACTCTGACAGAAAAGGTGATTCAAGTGACGCGTCTGAAAATTGAATAATATCATTTAGAAAAATGAAGAAATGTTCATAAGTCTCTGAATGATGTGCATCACTGAAGATGTGTAATGGTGATATTCATTATTGAAAGAAAGGAAGCATCGAACAAATGTTTTGTTCATATTTGAAGGGAGTAAACGTAGAGCGCATTTAGTCGGTTATACATAATAATTGCAGAATTTCGGAATTGTGACATTCATACTTTGTGTTTATTTAATAAATTATTGAATTATTAGTTCTGTATGATAATCAGCTAGACGTAATCAGAGCTAGCTATTAGTCAGTTTAAATAAAACTCATAAAAACCAAAGTATTTAGATGTATACCTTTAATGTATTTTCCTTATCTAATGAATTATCAGAATGGGTTTTGTGGAGAGTTTTAGAAATTTCACAGGTTGAAATCATGAATCAATTGAAGCTAGACCACCATGGGAAACCTGGAAGCACTGGACGGCCGTCTCGTCCTAGTATGGGACTCCTCAGCAGTGCGCACTTACGATCCTGCACCCCGTGGGATTCGAGCCCAGGACCTAATGGCTTCGCGCGCGAGCACTTGACCACTAGACCACTGAGGCGGCATCAAACGGTGTTAATGTCTAACTTCAGCCAATTTCTTTACAAAAACAGAAAACAATTTTGATGATTTCTTCTGATATCTCAATACTGTTTATGGTGTTTAAAAATGAACATGATAAATCACTTGCCTGATTTATTTCTAATGATATGTGAATTGTCAAACATGTTTAGATAAGAAAATGATGATTGTTTATAATTAGTTTACCATAAAAATTATTATTTCAAAACAAAAATGATTGATATTGTTAGAAAAAGGTAGGAAACAAAGAAATAAGCAAAATCATGGTTAGATTCATCATAATTCAGATACTTCGTTTTAAATTATCATCTTAATATGAAAATGCTTGATGGGAAAATAATGAAATATAATCTGTGATTTTGTTAAATGATGTTTATCTGATACAGAACTTGAATTTTTAAAATATCTACTGACTTGAATTTCATTAATCAAAGATGTCTTAAATTATTATTTATATTTATTTGTACACATAAATATTGGTACAAGGGGCACCGAATACATATGCACCACACAAATCTCATTTGATTTGTGTGTGGGCTGTGTTACTACACGGGTGCTCAGACTGAAGCAGGTGGTCTTCATAGGGGGCAACACCAGGAAACTTCGACCTATAGGTCTGATCCACAAGGCAGTGGAGCATCGTAAGGAGATGCAGTCCCATGTTAGCCGGTGACCAACAATTGATTCATACGCCATTTGTTCCTTCGGGACAATGGAGCCCATGTGCACCATTAGTTTTGCATCAGGATTCGAGAAGGCAGAGAGTATGACTTCCCTGGTAGTGGCTGTATACACGTAGTCATGTGAGGGCGTTTTGAAAGGAAGAGTTGACTCTCCCCACTCTCGACCGTATCAGGGCATAAAGAATCCTTGAACCTAAGTTTCATATTAGTTGATGATGTATGGTCTTGTTAGGTAATTGTAGCACTAATGATCTGTATGAACACAGACATATATTAAATGAATATAAGTGGTAATGTAAATTATAAAATTTTCTTGGGATCCTATTAGTTTGTCGTTACGTTAATTAAATTTAGATAATCTAGACTGCATTCTTTACTAATCAGTATATCAAATAAAGTCTGTAAACATTAACTTCACTTACTGCTAACGAATTTCTACATAGATGAAACTCATTCTGAAGCAGTACACTTGAATTAATCTCAATTTTTTATGGTGTTTAAGAAACTTAATTATTTCGAGCGAGTATTTGGGAGTAATAAGAGAGCTTATCTATAAGAAACTGACTTTTATCGTTAATTCCCATTGGACAGCGACTGGTTAAGTATCAACATTTCAGTAGGCTGCAATTTCCCGAACCGTCTTTCAGTGGCAACTAAAAAATCAGAAGACAATTTCCGGTTGCGAAAAAGCAACTGAATATTATTAGGCATTTTAATATTCTATAATCGGCAAAAGATTATTTTATTCGTAAATGTATAAAAAAGCATAGGACTATTCTACTAGTTCATGAATGACAGTCCGGAGCTCTAGCTCTTCGTCACTTCTTTACAAAACGTAATGTTCTTATTAGTTGTACGATAATTCACTCAGTGGATTATTAAATGCAATCCACAAAATCCCTGGATTAAAATGAATGACTGATAAGGAAATTAAGTGATTACTTGATGAACCTTTTACCACTGTGGGTTAGACAATAAAAGAT